TGTTGTTGTTAAGTGTCATCAAGTCAGTTCTGACCCATGACGACCCTGTATAGGGTTTCCAAGGAGCGGCTTGTGGCTTGAACCACCGACATTGTGGTTCAGACGACCTTGCAGTCCAGCGCATTAACCCACAGCCCCACAGAATCTCATTAATTTGGGGTTCACTTTAAAAGCTGCACATTTTAATTCTGACAAGCAGTCCATTCATGTTTATATTTGCATTGTATAGTAAAAGGGTTTGTTACGTAGCAAATATATGCACCTACCAGACAAAGAAAACACCAATCACTTTGGGCAAGAACACACCCCAGACTTGTGCAAACCTCAGAGAAAAAGAATACTGCAACCCCTAATAGCATTCTGAAGCAAGCAAACATGTTAAATATATGGGAAAGACTTAGCAGTTACGATGACAAAAGCAAAGTTTACAATCACACACACAAAGTGATCCTGAATGTCTATAAAATATTCTCAGCAAAGACCAGGTAAAAATACAGCAACATGGCCTTCAGGTTTTGGGACTATAAGTGAGTTTTTCTTCACCCTTCTTCTTTTCTCCCTCTGTATTTTCCAAATTCCTTTAAGGCACATAAATTATTTTCATCACAGAAAAATAAATTTTGTTTGAATACAGATACGGCTATAAACACAAATCATCAGTAAAAATTTTCAAGGGAATTTGTAAGCAGCCTACTACTGAAACACACGTACCCTAAATATGGAAACCAGATTGCCTAATGTGAATAAGTAGTTAGAAATAGAGGCTGTTTGTACATAGCAACACAATAAAGTCATCATTTCAATAAATGAGCTACAAAACCCAGTAGTGTCCCATCTTGCCAGTTAATTTACATGAATTAAATTACATGCAGTTAGCAAAACCAGGTGTGTCGGGGAGGATCCCTTTATCTATTCCATCTTCCCTATTTCCAGTTCTTCAGGACTGGAGCAGAATTGCAAAGAGAAGCAAAAGACATAAACTCTTGGCTTTTGTACTTCCAAAGGTCAATGTCAATGGTGACTTAAGGAATTCCTATGAAGAGTCTGTAAAACTTAATCCCTAAATTGACTGCTAACTCAAAAGTTGGAAGTTCAAGTCCACCCAGAGACACCTTGGAAGAAAGGTCTGGCAATCTGCTTCCAAAAATTCAACTATTGGAAACTCTGTAGAACACAGTTGTACTCTGACACACATGGGTTGCCATGAGATGGCCATGCTGGCAACTGGCTTCAGCTGGATGCTACTTGACTATAACCAGTGTGAAAGTTCTTTCTCCCTGTCTTTGCTTATCAGATGGCCTGCAAAGGGAAGCAGAGCTGGGAACTCTCAATACAGGTAAGAGACGTAAAAGCACAAAGAGTCCTCAGGCAGTCCAACCTCCAATGTCTGGAGTGCCTGTACCTTCTCCGAGCACAAGGCATGGTCCTGTGGGAGCCAGTTTGCAAATCACTGGCCTAGTGTCTCATCCCATCTACTCGAGAACCTACCTTGGTTGTCAAACATGCACATGGGACCATCACGCTGGTAGTTGGCCACTCGAGCACGGAAGGGGCAGTTGACAGGTATCTGAAGGTAGTTGGGGCCCAGACGGTGGCGGTGAGTGTCAGGATAAGCAAAAAGACGGCCCTGTAGTTAAAAATGAAATCGACATTGGCCAGCCGCAGCAACATCTGAAAAGAATGGTCATTCTAAAACGTAAAGTACAAAGCACTCAGTATACCGGATACCACAGAGCGCTGCCCATTCCCCCACTACAAAGCAAAGCCTTTCTCTCCTCTGAAACGAGTTCTATTAACTAAACAGTCCTTAATCTTCAATGCCATATGGCCAAACAACCATAAATCTTCACATCTGCTCTAGATAAGGACCCCCAAAATAACAATAGTGCCCTGTCTTAAATTATTTCCTATTCTCAAGAAGTATTACACTGTAAAGTAAATTCACTAGAACTCAACTAACTGGCATCCTGAATTCATTCTGCTCCTCTCCACTCTCCTCCACTCTAGGAGAGAGATCAACCACTTTTTCCCAACAAAAACAGGCAAATTAGTACAAAACCAACAGTTTAGGAAATTACTCAAGAGAGCATCTCTCCAAGAAAGGGAGCAGCTGAGGACTCTAGACTCATGGAAAGATAGAGACTGAGTGCTGGCAGCCAGGAGGCAGGCTTAAAGAATGGGCCCTTTGGTTGTTTAAATGATTATATATTCCTGAGCGCTTCTGTGTACACCCCTCTACCCCCACCACTCAAAATAACAGAGGTGAATGATGATGCATGGAGGAGATTGTGATCACTGCAATGAAACAATGGTGTAAAGCCAATATTCTCCCATAGTAAACTATACTCAGTTCACAATAATAATAATACAGTATTTTTTAAAAAGTCAATAATAGAAAACATCAAGGCAAGTGGCCAGGTCCTCTCAACTCAAACCCCCCTCCAAGACTAAGACTCAATGGAAATGCACGCTCTGATTGGTGGCCATACACATCACTGATGGGAAAGTGGGGCAAGCTAAGCCCTACAATGTTCAGTGGACTTCTGTGGACCCAGTAGGGGACCTGGTTGGCAAGCAGTGTGAAGAGG